TCTGATTGGGACAATTGGCTAGAAGATACTGATGGTAACACTGAGTTCATGGAAAGCACTACTGAAGACCCCAGGTGTTGGAAGATACTAATGGGATGGACGATTTCTAGTTAACTACATCTCTCTCACTTTCTCTTTTTGTCTTTGTTCTTTCTTTGTTTTTATGTAATTTGTATTTCTTTCGCTTTCTCTCTGTCTCTCCTTTTATAATGATAGTTTCTTTTTGTTAAAGTTGTCCTTTCAATTTTGTACAATGTCTTTGCAATTTTGAAACGCTAGGACATTATGTCTCACCAAATACAAAAGTTATTAAGAGCACTGTAAGGTATATCTCTTTCATCTTACATTTTACAGCCTTATAAATGGCTTAGATGAGCTATTCTTCACCGAGCAATTCTACTGGTACCTTGAAGTGGACTGTCATGTAGTGGGAGCATTTCTGAAGAATAGGCCCAAATTCAAAATTTTGCAAAATTATTCAGAATTTTTTTCGTCTTTCTTCTATCTCCACGGAAATTTTTTGAACTAGAGAACCATTCAAGTTGGCTTTTACGGCATTCCTTAATTTCCTTTATGCATGGGTCAAGGACCACAAATGTAGTTTCAAAAAGAAGCAAAAACGTGGACAAAATGAAAGATAAAATCCAGCTGCAGCCACTGCATGGGTTTGTGATTTGATGCCATTTTAATTTATGCGCTTGTAATCATTATGAATATAATCAACCTAACCACACAATCATTAACAGAGCAATTCTTTTTAAATTTAAGAAAGAAGGATGAAAAATAGTAAATAAAAAACATTTAAAATGGAAGTGTAGTAGGATTAAATTGGAAAAAAGTAAAGAAACAAGAGTGCTGTAATTGCAAACTGGTGTGAGAAGAAGTCCTACATCACTGTATGATTGTTATCTGATAAAAACGTTCAAATCAATTCACCATGAAGCCTTTATTGGTCCTTCAAACACCATGAAGTCTTTATCTTTTATGCAGTGGTGTAAGATTTCTTTTCACACAAGGTTGCAACTATAGCCTCTTGTTTTTTTACTACTTTCCAATTTGATATACTTTTCCATTTTTAATGTTTTTATTTATTAGTCGTACATTTGACTCACGGAAAACAAAAATTAGCTTGCATACATACATGTACATGTAAATTTCAATTTTTAAGCACATTTTATTAGAAGCAAAAAAATTTCAGACAACATACAGATTTATGTTGTATTATAAATTCTTCTTCTTATTATTATATAGTCTTTCAGTATGGAGAACTTTGTTGTATTTATGTATTTTGTAGTTTTTTAGATTTTTTAGCTTTCTTTTAGTAGTAACGCGGTAGCATTACTAAGTAGGATACACTCCAAAACAATATGGCTGCCAAGACTTTTGAAGCCTTGCTATACCAGGAAAACAAGCTCCTGTGCTTACCAGACTTCTTAGAGGACTGTATCTTGACCAGAGGACTCCATTACTACCACTAGCATGGCTCTAAACCTTGTCTGAAAGAAAAGTCAAAAATCAGCAAACTGGCCATTTTGTTTAGCCACCTTTTTTCATCATCATTCCTGAAAATCAGTTAACGGAGAGTATGATGGTCTTTGAACAATGCTACAACACAAATTTTACACCGTATTCTACTCTTACTATCCATGCGCATGTCCAAAACTTTTCAAATAACTCTAACAGTTTCAAAAAGTTGCCGTCTCTCTATTGTTGCCAGTCCAACTTACCTCATTCCACCATTTTGTTAATTAAAGAAGCATGTGCTTCAAAATTTGGGTGTGTTTGAGCATGCTCAGATCTCAGAACTGGGAAAAGGAGCAATTTTTTATCTACAGTAGCTATGCTTTGATTAACTGCAATACTTAGTGGAGGTTCCAGGCTTCCAGTTCTAGCTGAGAGAAGGTATTTAGTCTTGGATATCATTGTTTTATTACACGTATGTGTGAACAATTAATTTAATTTAATTTAATTTAATTTAATAATAATTTTACAAGATGAACAGAAGGATGAGTACAGAAGGATGAGTACAGAAGGAGAAAGGGATAGACGAGGGAAAGACATCTTGATGGGATAACAGCAAGAGCTGCGGATACCCAGAGATAAATAATAAAATTAGTTATGATACATTGTATTACTGTTAAGATTGGTGTGTGTGGATGCAAGTATAAAAAAAGAAAATTAGAATAATAGAATAACAAGATCAATAAGAAATAATGAGAAATAATACATTTTAAAAATAATAAAAATTGAATAGAAGAAAAGTACTTGATAGATTGATGAGTGATTAAT